AAACAGCTGTCAGGCACACACACACACACACACACACACACACACACACACACACTCGTGACTGTGAATTTCATCCCTGTCAGATAAAGGAAAAGGGTGTGATGAGCTCCACACATACGGCTTAGTGCTGTGTTTGTGTGTGTGCGCTTGCCCTTAACAGCCTGTGTGCGTGTGTGTGTGTGCGTGTGTTGTACCCGCATGCATCACAGTGCCTGTCTTGTGCTTCCTACCTCAGAGCTTGTGTGGGTGCATATATGTGAAGGTCTTTAAATCATGGAAGCTGCTACTTCTGTGTGTGCTTGTGTCCATTTGTCAAAGCATATTCGTTTCTCCCAATATGGCTGTCAGTGTGCGCCGTCAATCATAAGACAGTGTGTGTGTGTTTGTGTGTGTGGACGGGCAGCGCCAGACGAGGTCACCGATAAGGGCTGGCCCTTTTGAGGCCCATCGCTCTCTCCCTCCCACAGGCTGAGCATAAATTACTCCCCCAGCTTCAGCCACACAAACTGATGTATGGATATCGGCTTCTCACCCCTCCCCTGCCTGAATGAGGGCTTCCTTTTCTTTTCTTTTTCAAAATGGCCAACTGATTCCAACTGTACTGTCTTCCCTGGGTTTGGAGATTTAGTGGAGGCTGCTCCTCTGATTTTCTGCTGATAAACAATGAAGCTGTTGCTATAGTTATGACTATATAACTTGTTGCCACATCAATGTCCATGTTGTGTGCAATCTAAACTATAATGGGACTTAACCTTCCAAGACCAGGAAGTGATAAAAGTCATTTCTTTCCTCATACACATTTCCATGGAATACAGTGCACAGAGTTAACTAAAACTGATTTGGCAACAGCAAAAATGCGAATCCCTCGGCGCCTGCATTTTACACACAGCCTTAGGTGACATCATTCAAATGTCTCTGAACACTCCCAAAGTGATGGGAGATTATCTCTGCAATTCACACCTGCCAATCAGTGAGCTGCAGGTGCACAGTGGGGGAATGGGTTTGGGAATGCACAGCTGTGTCTGCATCAACAGAATAACACAGTGTGAGGAGTTATTTTGGACGTTCAAGGTTCTGCAAGTAAGTCATATTCTTTCTTTCTTTCTTTTTTTTCTTCTACAGACGGTGTTAGCTGACTGGCAGCTGGAACACCTCCAAGGTTTTGATGGCCATGAAACTCTCCCAGTTGAACAGTTAGTGCAAACAACAAACTGCAATGATAGACTACGATCAAGGCCTGGTAGACCTTCAGACTTCGTCCAATCGCCAAGTTTAAAATAATGCTGTCTGCAACACTAATGGCGGGTTGAAAAAAAAAACAACTCACTTCTGTATTCTAGATTAATGTTATAGGAATTCAGCAACTTTGGTGTGGTGCTTTTTTTCCTGATTGCGACAACAAATTGTTCTGAAATGTCAGCAGGTCTCATCCGTGGCTCCTAGTTTCTCCATAGCATGTCAAAGAGAATATTTCTTAATGCACGCCTGGTAGACAGGTGCGTAGGAGAATGATGAAAAATGGAAATTCCTGCTTACTGTGAGCAGCGCGTTTAGTGAAAAAGCAATATTCGACTCAGACTTGTTTTATTCTTTGGCTTCTCCATAACAACAGCGTCGCGGTATGTTATGGTTAGAATTTACAGCAAAATAGTTTTCTCAGAAACAAAGTTGAAATATTTCTGATGGCCACAACATTATCTTTGACACACAAAAACTGTTAATTGATTTGTAGAAAATAGGAATTTACCGTCACAGTCAAGAGCAACAGACCAACAGCTGTTAATCAGCTACAGCAACATAAACACCTTTAACATACAGACGTCAGCAGGATATATTATTAATTTTCCTGGTCTAGCTATAAACATGCATGCCTCCTCAGTTTGAATCCAACCTGTCCCACCGACAAAAAAAGAACCCTTCGGTGTTCCTATTCATGGACATACAACAGTTTTATATGTTATGTGGTGTAAACATAAGAGTTCTCTTAAAAAAAGGATTAAATGAAGACTCACCTGTTTGTGCATCTCAATATTGAGCCCATAGGACATCTCATAGTACTGGAAAGAAAGAGAGAGGAAGACAAAAAGAAAAAGTTATAACAACACAGGCATCTAATACCTGTAACTGTTCCCAGTAAATCTTCTGCACATGTGCTCCATGCTAACACTTATTATCATTATATCATTATACATAATTTACTGTGTGTGATGTGCGCTTGGCTAACACTGTAATGGGAAAGAAGGCTTAAACTCTCTTTTTATTGCATTCTTAACAAAAGGGAAGTCTGACTTGCCCCCACTGTATAAAACTATTTCTAACTATATCTATGCCCATTCTGACTGGTGTTAAGCAGCATCACCACACTCCAAGATCTATCTATATTAAAAAACACAATATGATGACAATAGATAAAAATGTCCCTGCCCTCTTGTACAACGCTACAAACTACAACTATACAATTTTGAAGATTTCCAATCATGAAAAAAAAAAAATCTAAAAAAAATAAGAGTGAAAATAAACAAAATTATTCTTCCAACAAAAAGTAAACCCTCAACCCAACGTGACACATCTTAAACATCTTAATGACTCCCAAGATCCCAGATTTTGATTCTACAAACCTATTCCCACCACAAACACGCTTGCATGCACACATACAAAGAGAAGAGAAGACACACGGCTACAAATAGGAATAGGAACTCAGAGAGAAAAGGAGACAGTAGAGAAAGAGCCTCTGTTGTGAGTGAGCGTGTGTGTGCGTGTGAGTGTGTTCAGTGTTAATGAGAGGGCCACCCTCTAGGCGTCAACCCTGTTAATCACCCACTCTGTCTGCAGGGGGACTGGCTCTGTCACTGGAAAACAAACAACACACAGATCTCTCACACATAAATGTGCACACAAACACGCGCACACACACAAATTTCTGTCTCTTGCTTGCACTCACACGCACACACCATTGTTGTTTTCTGTTCAATCTCGCACTGACACTACCTTGTACGTGAATGCACTCGCATGCACAGACACACCAAACACACACTCTTTTTTTCTGTAGCAGGCCCACGCGGAAGCTCCCTAAAGTAATTACAGCGCTGGGGAAATGGAGGTGCTGCCGCTGGCTGGGGGAGTGGGGCAACCTGATATGCTATTAGAGGAGTGTGTGTGTATGTGTGT